AAGGGGGCTACAGGAGAGCTGGGGAGGGACTCTTGATCAGGGAGTGGAGGAATAGGAAAAGGGGTAACAGTTTTAAACTGAAAGGGGAGATTTAGATGAGATCTTAGAAGAAATTCTTTACTGGGAGAGTGGTGAAACATTGGAACAGGTTGCCCAGAGAAGCTGTGGCTGCCCCATCCCTGGAGGTGATCAAGGCCAGGCTGGACGGGGCTTTGAGGAACCTGGTCTGGTGAGAGGTGTCCCTGCCCATGGCAGGGGGGTTGGAACTGGATGATCTTTAAGGTCTGTTCTAACCCAAACCATTCTATGATCCTCAAGGTGCTGGGAACTGCCCCTGTGTGTAGTAGTAGTTGTGGTCAGTCTCAGGTAACCTCATGGAGAATGAAGGATGTTGAGTGAGGTCTGGCTGCTGTCCTGAGGATTAACAGAGGGAGCCTCTGCTTCAGTTTCCCTGCATGCAGAGACCATATCTGCACCTCCTTTCCAAGGGAATTTGCAATCTGTGTGAGGACTTCTCTCTGAGTTGTGCATTCTAAGCCTGCAACAAGCACTGACAAACCCAACTAATATTAACTGTAATAGTACTTTAAAGTAGAGCATCTTAACTAATGTGGGGACCAGTCACTGGCTTCATCATTATGATAAGTACCATTATACTCTATTTCTAGATGATTCAATGTTGGCTCTAAGCAAGGGAGTCCAAGTTTAGGGCTTGTGGCAGAGCAGCAAAGGTGTCCTAATTGATAGTTCAGCTTTCACTATAATTTTATTGAAGAAAGTAACTCCAGCCTTGATTTATTCTGACCAAGGGGGCTACTTTGCAGTGGTGTTGCTGCCATGAGCCCAGGGCTGTTCGTTGAGGGACAAAACCTGCAGCATCACAGTGGGAATAGGAGGAGAAGTGGCTGGAATGAGGTCTGTTGATGCTCAGAGAGGCTGCAAAGGGGCCAAGGTAAAGTTCAGAGTCAACGAACACTCCATGGTGTCATCCTGCTTTTACAGAGCCCTTCCAGGAGATGGGGGAGAGACACCCTGCTCAGAGGTCCTTTTTTTTTTTTTTTTAAAAAAAAAAAAAAGCAGCTTCTTGGAAAATTCTATTTTCTCTGGCATTGGGCAGATACTAGAAACCCTCTTATATGAGATGGATGCTGAGATCTTTTCCTCAAAGGGACTTTCATGCACTGAGACCTTTCACATTGAGAGGACAAAGCCTCTGGATACACTTCTCTTGAGCAAAACACCGGCCCAAATTGGTTTAAGCCTCACATTTGATTTTTCTCTTCTGGGTCAGGTATCAAGCCCAATATCATGCTGAAAATGGCAAACACTTCGGATCAGAGTGTTGATGTTTAACAGGATTGGTTCTGTCTGTATGAATCTGCTTTCAAAGGTGGCTGGATTTCGCTGGAAAAGGGACTTCTCTAGAATTAAACATGCTAATGTCAGGGACTTGCAAAAGGTATCTTTGCCCTTTTGATAAGGAAAAAGGAATTCGGAACTAGAATCAATACTCTTTCAAGCTTTGGCACTTATTTTGATGGAATGGGCACAAAACCCCCCAAGGTTTTTCCTTTTGTGCTGGGCAAGGTACATATAGAGCAGCAAGTGATCACAACCAGCTCGCTCTTCCCTGAGCAGAGCCAGGTACTTGGCTACTACCTAAATAACAAATTTAGTAATGCAGGAGCTTAATTCCTATGGCCTTAATCACCGTCTTACGATAATGTTTGTGCTGGGACTAAACAAGCCTACTCTAAGGTGCTTAATCACTTTCCCGAGGTGCACAGCACCGGGGGGGTTCCAGCGCTGCCCGGTAGCACAAATTGTCTCCAAATTAAAACAAATTGCCTCCAGAAACCTTAGTTGGGAAGGTTCTCCTGCCAGATCTTTTCTGATTGAATGCCACGGCCCTCCTGGAGGATCTACTTACTTTCAGTTCCCTGGTGGAGGGAGCTGAGCTCCCTGCTCCTCCTCGTTAACAACAAGCTCAGAGCCGTGCTATTTTCCTCCTCGCTTCTGAGACTGGTTCTTCCCCCACAAAAAAATGTGCCTCAGTCAGTGAATTGCAGGATCGTGCCCCTTGGGTGAATTCCCCCTTCCCTCTTGGAAAAGGACACGTGCAGAAATCCCGGGAAGCTGGCTGTCCCCCTGGTGTTTTTGGGGTTGGAGGTGCTGGGCAAACCGCGTCAAGTCTTCTGCCCCTTTGGCTTCCCACCCTCCCCTCCCAGCCCCATTTCTCCACCGCTAGAGAAACCTCCAGGAGAAAGGCTGTCCTACATGGGAAGAGTTCTGGGGGCTCCAACAGCTGCTGGGGGGTTTGAGTCCCCTTGGCAGATGTTTGCTATTCCAGCCACTTCATTAATGTCGGAAACAAAACCCCTGATTATTCCTGACCAAAGCACCCCCCTTTTTGATTGACAGCCCGTGTGTGTTTCATACGCCATAACTCACCCTATTGCTATGGCCACTGGTTTTTTTTTCTTTTTAAAAAGTTATTTAATAAAAGAAATAAAATTTCTAGAGACGTGCCAGGGTACGCTCATCTCACCTGCTGGTTGATGCTCTGATGAGGGCATCGGTGTTTCTAGAGCATGGGCAGAGGTGCCAGCCCCCCATTTCTGTAAATCCAGCCTTTTAGATGTGAGAAATTAGTTTTTAAAGACAAAAGGAGCCTCTTGTCTTACATTTGGTTGCGTGCGACTGAGGGGAGCTGACACTTCTTCTGGGCTGGATCTTGTGGGGCTCGTGGAAGACTCTTTGATTTCTCTATCGTGCTCCCAATTTGGGAAACGTTCCTCTGCTGCATCTCGTCAGGTTTTGGGAAGTCAATAAATGCAAAATGAATTTGGAGTGGGGGGCAGAGGGGCTGCCCAGACACCGAGGAGACGCGGTGTGGAGCAAAACGCCGTTTGCTGCTGGTTTCTGCTGCTTCGGGATTTAAATCAGTTGCTTCCTCAGGATATTGCTTCAGAAATATTCTTTTTAGTAATTATCAGCAAGCACTAATTGTTTAAGCTAACGTTACTGGTGGTTATTTTGTTTCCTTGAAAAAATACGGCTGAAAAAGAGGCAAAAACAGGCGTGTTCCCAAAATGTTTTATGGCTGAATTAAGCAGTGAGTATTCATAAAGCTGCATGCGTAATGAAGTCAGCACATCTTAAATACTTGCAGTTTGTTTAGCAACAGCTTAAGTAATTTAAAAATAGTTATATCATCAGGGGAAAAAAAAGTCCTTGAACTCCTTAATGGTTGTTGTCATTCTAGTTAAATTCCTGGTCGCAAGAGCGCTTTAGTTTCTCAAAATAAAAAGAAGTAAAACCAATTTCCAACTGATATATTTGAAACGAGAGTGCCGTTTCAGTGAGCAAGGCGCTTTGTTTTATCTTTCTTTTCATATATTTTGCTGTGCCCTTGTTTTTTAAAACCACGTAACGAGTTTTTAAGGAAAAAAAGTTCAAAGGATATATCAAAAGTATTGTGTTTCCTTGCGTCTGCCTTCCAGTTCTGACAGTGCGCGGACAACGAACACGGGGGTCTTTTTTTCTTGGTTTTAGGGCTGTCCAAATCGGCAAATGTAGCTCTGAAGTTTAAAGCCAAATGACACTCGTAATTGGAAAAGAAATAGTGCTTTTGCCAAAGAGATTAAAGATAGTTTATAGAATTTTTTTTGGAAGGATCTTAAAATTATAGATCAATAAAATAAAAGTAGCTCAAATAGTTTGTAAGGTTGAGACCGTTGTTTTCTCCTGCAAAAACTTAAGTTTTCTCATAGAAAATAAAAGTTTGCTGCCATTTGGATCACCAAAGCATGAAAACTAAACTGTGGCTGATAATATTTTGTAGATTATACTGAAATCCTTGTATGTCACCTGCAAATAATTTTTATTTTTTGGGGGGGTGGCACATTTCCATAACTCTCTTCACCCATTTAAATTCTGTGGCCAGGAGTAATTGCGAGCTGTTTCTGGAGTAAAACCAGGCAGCAACGGGTGAGAAATGGGGAAAGGCTCCTCCTGATGTGCCTTCCCCTGAATAAGGTGTCCAAACGGTGCAGTTTCTCAGCAAAATTTGGGAGCAACCCCCTCCCTGCCCCTCGGGGAAACTGCAAAATAAAACTCGGGGAGGAAAAAGAGCTTTAAGGGAGAAATCTCAGCACCCCAATAGCGGGCTAGGAGGGGTCTGGCCTCTGCAGAAGGGGCTCAAAACTCATTTTTGAAAAAATCCAGCTGAGATAAGCAGGGATCTACCGGTAAATTAAGGATCCACCAGTAATTAATTTTGGGCTGCGGGGACTAACGCCGCTCTGGAGCAGGCACTGTTTGCTTCGGGAAGGCACCTATAAATAGTAATTTATTTATTTTTACCCTCCTCCCCGCCGCTTTCCAGCACTTTGTGGCCGGGGAATAGATTTGATACCGAGGGGAGGAAGCTTCGTTGTTGGGGGGGAGGCTCGGGAAAGAGGCGCTCCTTCTGCATTTGCGGGGATGGGCACTTTTAATTTATTTTAAAGTCATTCCAGGCTTGGGAAGGGGAGGGGGAAGAAAGGAAGAAGGGGGGAAGAAAGGAAGAAGGGGGGAAGAAAAAAGAAAAAAAGGCAGCCCCAATCTGGAACCTGAAAAAAAGGAGGAAAAAAGAGGAAAAAAAATCCAGGCTTGGGAAGGGGAGGGGGAAGAAAGGAAGAAGGGGGGAAGAAAGGAAGAAGGGGGGAAGAAAAGAGAAAAAAAGGCAGCCCCAATCTGGAACCTGAAAAAGAGGAGGAAAAAAGAGGAAAAAAAAAAAGAAAGAGAGAAGCACACCCCGGTATCTTAAAATAGCGAGCGGGGAGGGGAGAGGCGGGGAGGATCCTCCCAGCCGGGCTCAGGGTGACAATGGTGCTCGTCGGGGAGCAGCGGGAGCCCTGATTGACAGCCGGAGCCTCCCAAAAAAAGCCGCGGAGAGATGCTTATCGGCAGGTTTATATAGCGGGGGCGCGGAGCGGGCGCGGAGCGGCAAGAGCCGGGGCAGCGCTGGGAGGAGGCGGTGGAGAAAGGGTTGGTTGGGGTTTTGGGGTTTTTAGGGTCGGGGGGGTGCCCATGCCCGGCCGGCAGAGGCTCTGGCAGCCCCCGCAGCCCCCGCGGGTCGCCCCGCCATGCACTGCCAGCCCCAGGCTCGGCTGGTGGCTCCCGGCCGTCCCAAGGCAGGCAGGAGGCGCTACAAGACCTTCATGATCGACGAGATCCTTTCCAAGGAAACCTGCGATTACTTCGAGAAACTTTCCCTCTATTCCGTCTGTCCGTCCCTCCTCGTTCGGCCAAAACCTCTCCACTCCTGCGCCGGTAAGCCCTTGTCCCCCCCATTTTTTCCCCCTCTCCCCCATTCCCCATCCTAGGGATGCTCTGGGATGCAGAGGTTCGCCACCAGAACCTCTCCCTCCTTGGTAGGACCAGCAAACTCCTCCCGAAGTGCAGATTCCCCCAGCCCTAAACCCCAATTTTCACGCCCCCTCCCCACAGAAAGGGGTGGTGTTTGCTCCCCGTGTTTTCCAGGGAGATTAGAATAATAAATCACGGCGCGCAGTGGGGGGGTTCACTGAATTTCACTGAATTTTAGAGTTGGAAGGGACCATAGAGATCATCTAGTCCAACTCCCCTGCTGAAGCAGGATTGCCTAGACCTAGAGCATGTTACTCAGCTCCGCTCTTCCTCGGGGTGCTCCTAAATCGCTAATCAAGGCGACCCGTAACGAGCTAAGAGGAGCACAGGTCCTCCAGGAGAAAGTGGCCTCGACCTTGTGGTCGTAGAAACCATTGGTGGATGTTTTTTTGTCATTGCCATCTCTGGGAGTACAAAGAAATTAATAGAAATTAATAGAAAATTCAGAAACAGGGAGAAGGTGCTGTTGAGACACGTTGTTTTCCACCCTAAATTCTCCCTCCCTGTGAAAGGCTCTTTCTAACAGAGAAAACGTGGAAATATTTGGGTTGGTTTTGCAGATACAGACACCACAAGTAAATAACAGACAAATGGATCTCTGTCCTGGAGAGATCCCACTGATTTTAGTGCAAAAAAAGGAGCATTTTGGGGGGTTTTGGGGGGTTTGACCATGGGCATTATTAAATTTCACAAACAGATTGGTCTAATGTCAGCTTCTAAAAATCCGTGTTAAAAATAAAAAATATTATTCTTATCATGCATTCCAGATTTTTAAAAAAAGAAAAAAAGAAATCCCTCTTTTTCTGACGAAGTAGGCACTTTTCCAGATTTATATTCTTCCCGTAAGGCAAGACTCGCAGTGGTGATACCTAATGTTTTAAGAGAATCAGATGATGAAACTGAAACTTAAGAATATGGTCTTCAAAAAATCTTAATTGTCGAAAAGTATGTGTAAAGGACTAACCCCCGGCAAAATAATGTCTATTTCAAGGTCATAAAATTCTATTTTTCTTCTCTCTCTTTCCTGGGAATGTTCGTTTTGCGTTTGTATTGGTGTGTTTAAAAATTTGAGACCTGCTTTTTTGGCTTAGGTTTGGTGTTTTGTTTCGGTTTTAATGCTGAGCTGAATATAAATAAGAAGGAACTTTTCGGGTCTTAGTAGAGCTGTGCTAATATAAAACTTGCTGTTAGTTTACCTGAGAGTTTGATGAGTAGAATAAACCCTTGGTCCAAGCATAAACCTTCCTCCGGCCCCAATATTTACTTTGTAAATATTAATAATTAAAGCTTCAGAAGTGACTGGGGGGGCAGATCAGAATTAAGACCCACGATGGCCAACTTTTGGAAAGAGGTTAAATGCCCAGTGTGATCCTCATTCAACATTTATTTCTTCCGATCGATCTCTGCGGGTCATTCTTTGCCTTCTCTAACCAATTGTGGGCATATTTTTCATACAAGATGAGCTGGTTGTTAATCAAGATATTGCTGACAAGGGAATTTTTTTCAGAGCTAATCCCTCGCTACTGCAGAGAGAGTGAAATTTGGGGTGCTTGGCCAAAATAGGCATGAATGTCCCCAATGGGTGGGTGGGAGCCCACAGTTCCGCGGGGAGAGCCAGCAAGAGGGGAGAGATTTCTCTCTCCTTCTGGACAGGAAAAGAAAGCTCCCTTTAGTAGGAATATTCCCCTGAATATTTACCACCATCCCACCAACTCCACGTCAAAAAACAGGACCTGAATGTCGCCTCCAGGCTGAGGGATCCCCAACATTTTCCATGCGTGGGGCGTTTCCCAGCAGCTGTTTGGAGCCTCACCCCCCACCCCCACGGGGAAAAAAAAAGAGAGAATTATTATTTTTTTTTAAATATGTACTTCTGTCTCAAGTACAGCAAACATTGTCTTTGCGAGACTAATATAAATTCATTAAACAATCGTTAATAATCCTCAAATGATTCAGCAGTGGATTCGGAGTGACGCTAGCGTGACTCCTGTGGTTTCTCATCAATTAAAGCCTTATTTTTCTTTGTGCCTGGGCTATTTAATGAATTTGCCCTCAAGACTGTGTTTCTAGCCCAAGCTCTGGCCTGTCCCTGTGTCGGGGTGGATCGTGAATATCTGCTTCTGCTGGAATAAGCTTTATGGAGTCGCAGTGCTTGAGAAGTGAATGCGGAGAGAGGTTTTCTTGCGGGATTAAAACCATAAAAGAAACTGCTATAAAAGGTCAGCGATTCCAAATTGTAAGTGTCCTGAGGTTTATAGGGATGACTGAAGTCCTACATGAATTAGGTAATGGGATTTTTTAAAATTTATTATTATAAAAGAGGAAATTCTGTCATTGTCTGAGAAACGGACAATACCGCAAAAGATAACTAAATAAGAAAGAATTTGAAAAAGAGCCAACACGAATCTGTTAAAAAAAAAAAAAAACAACAAACCAAAACCAAAAACAAAACCCAACCAAAAAACAAAACCCAAACTCAAATAACTCAGAGACTCCAGACTGCAGAAATACAGCGCTGGGGCATTTCGACTTGCTGCCTGCGTTTCCTTTGTCTCTTGAGTTAATCAGCACTTCGTCTCTTTGCGGTCTCGAAGAAATGAATCTTAATCTAAATCACAGAAATTTCCCTTGGCAGCAGAGTCACGGCCGGGGTTTGGGAGCGTCTGAAACGCTAATGAGTGATTAGTTACTTCAGCTGAGCTGCTCCTCAGTGCCGGGGCTTTTTCTCCAGTCAGGAGTCGAATTTTTTTGGAGGCGTTTTCATGGGCTGAGGAGTTGGTAGTTCTTTCATCTTGGGTGAAGTCAGAGCAGTTTTGATACGCTTTCATAATTTATTTGGAGCTGAAAGATAGAAGCCGTTTAAGTCGCCCGATGTGTGTGTTTAACAGCACCCCTTGGAAAGAGGAGAGGTCTGAGAAGCCTTGGGAACCAAATGGAAAATATTTTTTTTCTTTTGGCGATGATCAAAGAGTAAATATTTAAGTCTGTGCAGCTGAACTGGGAGAAAACAAAATTATCAGGCAGAGGGGGGTGGAGGGGAGAAGGAGAGTTCGGGAATTTTCCTGCACGTGGTGAGGGAGAAGAGGGGTGTTTGAGTCGTGAGGACCCCTCTGCCACCCCCCCATCCATCCCTTCATCCAGCTTCCCAAATCCAGACTCCCAGCTTCAGCTCTCAGTGCCTTGGACAGTATTTATTATTATTTTAGTGTTATTTTTATTATTAATATTATTTCGGTGGTGCGAAGCTCACCCATCTCATTGGGGACATTCCCAGTTTGAGTCGTGAGGACCCCTCTGCCACCCACCCCCATCCATCCCTTCATCCAGCTTCTCAAATCCAGACTCCCAGCTGCACCTCTCAGTGCCTTGGACAGTATTTAGTATTATTTTAGTGTTATTTTTATTATTAATATTATTTGGGTGGCGCAAAGCTCAACCCGTCTCACTGGGGACATTCCCAGTTTGAGTCGTGAGGACCCCTCTGCCACCTCCCCCCCCATCCATCCCTTCATCCAGCTTCCCAAATCCGGACTCCCAACTGTACCTCTCAGTGCCTTGGACAGTATTTCTTATTATTTTAGTGTTATTTTTATTATTAATATTATTTGGGTGGCGCAAAGCTCAACCCGTCTCACTGGGGACATTCCCAGTTTGAGTCGTGAGGACCCCTCTGCCACTCCCCATCCATCCCTTCATCCAGCTTCTCAAATCCAGACTCCCAACTGCAGCTCTCAATGCCTTGGACAGTATTTAGTATTATTTTAGTGTTATTTTTATTATTAATATTATTTGGGTGGCGCAAAGCTCAACCCGTCTCACTGGGGACATTCCCAGTTTGAGTCGTGAGGACCCCTCTGCCACCTCCCCCCCCATCCATCCCTTCATCCAGCTTCCCAAATCCGGACTCCCAACTGTACCTCTCAGTGCCTTGGACAGTATTTCTTATTACTTTAGTGTTATTTTTATTATTAATATTATTTGGGTGGCGCAAAGCTCAACCCGTCTCACTGGGGACATTCCCAGTTTGAGTCGTGAGGACCCCTCTGCCACCTCCCCCCCCATCCATCCCTTCATCCAGCTTCCCAAATCCAGACTCCCAACTGTACCTCTCAGTGCCTTGGACAGCATTTCTTATTATTTTAGTGTTATTTTTATTATTAATATTATTTGGGTGGTGCGAAGCTCAACCCGTCTCACTGGGGACATGTCCCAAGCTCTTCGCGCTGGGAGAGCCCCAACCCAAATTTTTCTTTGGAAAGCAAAATGCAATTCCTCGTGAAAACGATCCATCATCAGCTTAAAATTGGGTGTATGAACGTGTATTGTGGGATTTATTGAGCCAAATAAACAAGGCTGAACTCACACGGAACCTGTGACCAAGCGTCCAGGTTCACGGCCATTAATGATAACGAACAAAAAAAAATAAATATTTAAACAGAAATATTTTCAGATGGTGGTTAATACCTCTTTGATTTATGGCTTTTTGGATTGCGATGACATAGTGAAAACATTTCTTTTGTTTCGCGATATTTATATTTTTATTGGCTTTTCATGTTATGTCATATCTAATTAATTTGCACAAGTAATGATTACAGTGTTCCTGTGCGCCGTGCTTGGTTTGCTGTAGGGATTTCTGAAGGCTGCTTTTGGACTGAGCAGAGTCCTGTAGGAATCACTTTTCAAATTGCCTTTATATAATTTTTTCAATTTTATATTTAAAAATATTTCTAGGCGAGTCTACACCAATTTTGGGTTTTTTCCTTTAATTTTTTTTTTTTTAAATTTTGCTTTAGCGATACATTTTAAAATCCAAATGTCATATTTGTAGTTGAGGGCATGATAAAGAATCAAAGGACATTGTCAGTGTACGATGTTAGGAGCTCAAACTGGAAATCTTTCGTATT